AAAAAGGAAAACAAGAGCACAACAACGTACGAAAGTGGACACAGAGAGACCACGTTAAGGTCTGCCTCCCGAGGGCAACTGCACCTCTTTAAAACAACCACGTGCTGTCTTACTCCTCTGAGAGAAAATTACACTCTTCAGCTGAGAAAGTAAAATTTGCAAGCACGTCAACCTTATCAACTCAGTAGCGCATACAAATTAACGGATTCAAGCAACATGTATGTACACGCACTAGTCACTAAAATTAGCAAAGCCGTCGGAAGAATAGAACAGTTGGATCACTCTATAGCTCGGACAATATTAAACACAACACGATCACGAAACAATAGCACAGCAGACTCTCCTGCCTCCGAGGGGCATAACAAATACAGGCCGCCGGAGTATCCTCTCTTGCAGGATTGTCAAAGGGTTCGCACATGCACACACCATCACACGCCAGCCACTGGTACGGCCCTCCGGCCGCTGCAACCCACACACTCCATGACAGCACAGAAAATTCTTTTGTCTCGCAAGTTGCAAGGTTACTCGTTTTTACCCTCTAGGTGGTCATGCCTCGGCCGTCACCAGTCTGGAAAGTGCGTCCGCATTGGCATTAAGTTTGCCTTTCTTATGTACAACCGTGACAATAAATTTTTGCAGCGCGAGAGCCCAACGCGTGAGGCGGGCGCTATGTGGGGTGCTGAGTGTCAAAAACCTAAGAGGATTGTGGTCAGTGACGGCCTTGATCGATGCCGCGAATAGCCACGTCTGGAGCCGCTGTAGGGCCCAGATGATCGCGAGCGCCTCGCGCTCAATAGTAGCCCCACGAGTTTCAGCAGGGGTTAGTTTCTTGCTAAGGAAAGCAATCGGACGCTCCTTTCCGTTGTCATCTTCCTGAGCCAAGCACGCCCCGATCGCGAACTCTGAGGCGTCCGAAGCCAAGATGCACTCGTTTTGGGGGTCAGGCGCAAAGAGTGCAGGCGCCTGAGCTAACCGTTCTTTCACCTTTTGGAATGCCTCTTTGGCTTCCTTTGTCCATGGCAGCTTTCTCGGTACGCGCTTATTGGTGAGACCAGTCAGCGTCAGAACGGGACGAGAGTAGTCGGAGACGTAGTCGCGGTAATAGTTTGCCAACCCCAGAAAGCTCCGCAGCTCCCTCTTCGTCTGCGGCCTAGCGATGTCCTGGATTGCCTCTACCCGCTTCGGGTCCGGGCCATGTTTCCCCGACCCTACAACATGACCCAAGAAATGGACTTCACTGCGAGCGAATTTATATTTCTGCACGTTAACGGTCAATCCAGCGGACGCCACTGCTGCCAAGACGCGCTCCAGATGAACTACGTGTTCTTCCCACGTCCTCGAAAAGATAGCCACATCATCGATGTAGCTGCACGCATACTCAGCATGTGGTGCCGAGATCTGATTGATGATCCTCTGAAACGTAGAGGCTGAGTTTCGGAGCCCATAGAGTTTCGGAGCCCATGAAACGTAGTATAGTGCTGCGCCTGCTCGTCCATCGGAATCTGCCAATATCCTCTAAGCATGTCGAGGATCGATATGAAGTTTGCTCCGGCAACTTCAAGCAGTAGATCACTGGCCATGCTCATAGGGAAGGCATCTGGTTTAGTGATAGCGTTCAACTTTCGATAGTCTATGCACAGTCGCATACTTCCATCCTTCTTGACAACACATACCACTGGATGCGCGTGACTACTTTCCACTGGATACACTAAGCCCCATTCTTCAAGCTCGTGCACCTGGCGTTCCACTTCTCGTCTGAACGCCATGGGAACCCGGTACGGGTACGCACGCTGAGGTTCGGGCCCCTCTGGCAGTGTGCTTTTATGCTTTCCAACGTTGCACTTTTTCTCTACCAATGCATTTAGCTGATACTGCTGGGGTTTCGTCAAATGAGCGACCGTCGGAAGCTCACCGCTTTTTCCATTTCCCTTAGCACTCGGAAGGGTAGGAACGTCACCGAACGCTCGATCCTCCTCAAAGATCACGCCCACTAGTGACACCCGAGAGTGATATGCCCGTAGGTTGTTTGCGTGGACAGTTCTACGACTTCGATCCTCGAGCTCCACTTCATAGGAAAACGGACACAACCGGCGAGCTATCGTGACCGGTCCGGTCTACTTCGGCCTCAACTTACCCTCTTTTTCTCTTTCCGACCACAAGACCTGGTCCCCATCACTGAAATGCTTATCCCTAGCCCGTAGGTTGTACCGGTTAGCATAGGCCTCCTGAGTCAGCGCACCTGTCTCCTTCGCACGTTCGGATGCACTTTCGAGGCGGTTTCGCAGTTGCGACAGATACGCTCCTGCTGAGACATTCAGCGAGTCTGGCACCGTCCACTCACCCGTCCATGTTTTCTGACGTATAGTTAGTGGCCCGATCGGCACCCTACCGTACATCATCTCGAACGGCGTCTCACCGGTTATAGAGTAGGGAACCTCGCGATACGCCCATAAGAGGTACGGTATGTACCTGTCCCAGTCGCGCCCATGCTCCTGAACTGCATGGCTTTACATCGCCTTGAATGTTCCGTTCCACCTCTCCATGAGTTCGTTGCTCTGCGGGTGGTCCGGTGTAGAGAACCGCGGTGTCGCTCCTAGCCCCGCCATAAGCTCCTGAGTGAGTTTTGCCGTAAAGTTAGTTCCCTGGTCCCAGCAAACCGTCTCAGGGACCCCCATTCTCGAGAAGATCTCTAAGAGAGCGTCGCATGTTGCCTTCGCGGTCAGTGATCGAAGGCAGGCGACTTCGGGCCATCTCGTGCAGTAGTCCACGTCGCAGAGCGCATAGCGGTGACCCCTACCTGAAGACGGACCCAGCGGGCCAATAACATCCACATTTACCATCTGGAAAGGCGCGTCCGGTCTCGCGAGCGTAGCGATAGGCACTCGATCTGACTTTCGCGCGGGACACCTCAATTGGCACGTGTGACAGCTTTGGCAGTATGCCTTGACATCGGCGGCCACGCCTGGCCAATAGAACGACTGCTTGGTGCGCTGAAGTGTTTTACGCTCACCAAGATGCCCAGCCCAAGCAGAATCGTGTGCCATACGGAGCACCTCCTCGCGTCGACCCTTAGGGATAACCAACTGGTTGCATGATCGACCGGCCATTGGTTCACAATGGTATAGAAGCTCATCGATTACAACCATTCCATGCGTTCCCACGCGAGCTTGCTTCCAGGCCTTATCCAGTGTCGTATCGCTTTCCTGACATCGCCTAAACTCATGCCTGGCAATCACATTCGCCCCACCGCTAGTTTCTCGTTCCTCCGTCATTATAGTCAGCACTTCTGCTTCTAACGACCGCTCACCGATCTCCCAATCCTTTTCAGCTGTTTCACCTTCCACTGACCCCATAAGCTGAGGCGCGGAGTCAGTGCACACTCGCTCACGAGAAGCTGCTCGTAATCAGAAGGTGTGATGAACGCGTCAACCCCCTCAACCAACCTCTCCGTGAGGGCGCATAACACCCCTTGACTTCCCAGTTCCAACGAGACATAAGGGCCCCCGTGACGGCACTAAGCGGCACATACGCAAGCTCCGCGGTCACCCGATCGCCAAACGCACTAGTTAGCTCAATCGTGGAGCCCGCGGCCTCATAGTGAAGTGGGACAGACTGTCGAATCACACTAATGTCGGCCCCGGAGTCCACGATTACAATAATGTCAATATCGCCACTTTTTACTACACCGTGTGTCCGCCACTGCCCTCCTTTGATGTCGCCGGTTCGGGGCTCAACCTCAAATTCTATCGCACTGACCATTGCTGCCAACGTGCGATCCTTTTCCTCGTTACGTTTTCTTATCCGGTCGCCGGGATTGGTGTTGCGGGTAGGGCAATCTTTTGCGATATGACCCGGCTTGTTACACCCGAAACAGCGGCGCTCGAACGGTGCGGCTGACCGTCCGTCCTCGCCACGTGCTTCTGGATCCGGCTTTTTCGTCGCACCGCCCCTCTCTGTAAAGGAACCCCCTTCGATCTCAGACTTTCATCAAAGTCCTCTGAGAGCTGAGCAATCGCGCTCGGGGTCAGGAAACCTCCCTTTTCCTTGAGTATGACATGGGCTCTAGCGTCTGGTGCAAGACACTCCTTCATACGGTCGCTAACCATGAGCTGTTGGAGCTCCTCCATGGTCTGTACCTTGGAGCTGTTCAGGTAGTATTGCAGGTAGTTCTCTAGCCTGACTGAAAACTCCTCCCACGTCTCCTTGCTACCCCTCCTAGAGCTCAGAAAGAGACGTCTGTATTCCGCCGCTGACAGCCGCAGACCCTCCAATACTTTGGAATTGAGCGTCTGATAGTCCTTGCGCTCTTCTGCGGAGAGCTTGGCAAGCATGCCCCGAGCCCTCTCACTCAACCGCGGCAAGACCATCCCGCCCACCACTCGCTGGGCACACCATACGAGTCTAGGGTCGCCTCAACATCCTCAAACCATCCGGGCACAAGCGGCTCATGAGTAGGCATGGGGGCGAGGACGCCCTTCAATAGGCTGGCGTATTTCAGTCTCCTATCTTCCTCAGCACCCCCAAGTCCGCCCCTCCCATCCACTAAGGACATCGCGCTCGCATTTAGGAGGCGTTGAGTTTCTAACAGAAGCCTTTGCTTCTCCAGTTCTGCCTCTGCGATTTGTAATTGCAATTGAATTAGTGACGTCTTGTCTGCCACCGACATCTCCGAGCCACTACTGCTACTATCACCCTCAGCGTTGACCGCCGACGCACGACCTCCGTCCTCCCCGTTCATACCGCCTGGTTTGCGCTTGCCACTACGTAGAGTGTACCAATCTGTCATAGAGCGCCCAAGTCTCAGCAAACGAAAGGGCACCTACCAGTGAACGCGATGCAGTTCCGGTGCTCCTCCACCCAGGTTCGTATGGAGGGACGGTGCTTGTCCGTCGGACGCTGTCCGTGACTTCTTCCCGCCCAGTGTTCCGAGATCCCCGCTTCCAGCAGACGTCTCGATGTCACCAGCACCCCTCGATCAGCAGCCTTGCATGCGCATCACTGTCGACTGCGCCGGTGAGGTTCTTTTCTTCTCTGATGATGATGTCTGATGCTGATGATAGCTGCTTGATGTCAATTTCGAAGTCTCGCCTGTTGTCGAGGTTGTCGAATAACGCATCATTGAGATTTGACGTCAACAAGAACAAATACGTTTACTAATTGCGAGCGAATACAAAAATTACAAGAGCAGAATTTTACAGAACAGTCATTCTTGCCGGACTCCGCATGAGTCTTCCGGCAAGACCCGCTCCGGGAGCGTATACCTGGTCACTCCTTTGGGGAGCTCGCACAACCAACCCTCAGAGCCAACGCCGCCGTGTATACAAACAAATAGCCGCCGTCGAGCGGCGGCTTCAGGACCCACAAAGCTCGTCAAAATGTGGCGCCCTTTCTTCTGCTGCAGCGCATTGCGACCACCTCACGGCGCTGAATCCTCCCACCAACCACAGAACGTTAGCGTAATTTTCTTAATGTCTGCAAAGTGAAATATTTTATCCAAACTGCTTTAAGTTTTGTATCACCTGCTGCGCAAATGGAGAAATGAGGAGGGCAGCAAACGTCATAATTGATGAGCTCTCCGATATGTAAAAAGTCAAGGGACAACACACCTAGAAATCAAAGTCTGTGCGTCCGGTTCGGACGTCACCGTGTAATTATACAATAACGTCCTGAAAAGCCGAAAAACCCGCAAAAGAAAAAGGTGCGCCGAAACGCAAAAGAGCTAGCTGGGCTTCGAAGCGCCGGCGCGCTTGCTACGTGGCCCGTAGCTTCGAATACACGTGATTGTATGATTAATTTGAGCGGTCTTGACAAGGGGGCCTAAGTATTTGAGTTGCAGCTCTTATAGTTAAAAGTCCAAGGAAACACTCTGACTTCCAGGCATTGCCTCTTGAATAACAACGGGTGCAAACAATCATGGTAGCTATTCTCGAGAACAGCCTACCTTTATAAAACCAAAGAAAACGCTGGTATGTAGCCAGAAAGTTTTCAATTTGATGTTGAAGATCGCGTGGGAATGTTTGGCATACCTAGAAAAATACAATTGCAAAACTACAAATTTCGTGGTATTTCTTTACCAAACTTCGTCCGTTTTATAGTTATGGTAAATTTAGATTAATGAAGGCTTCTATATTTTAAATAACTCTATTCGGCAAAAACTGAAGTAATGGCTTAAAGAGCCTTTCTGTAACTGACGCTGAACAGGTTAGACTGATTCTCGTCGGAATGAGACGTAAAGGATAATTGCTTTGATCAGGACGTCATCTTTTACAATTTCGATTGAGGCAGGCAATACAAATGTCCGGCATAACACCAATCAGTTATGTCTGTCAACGCCCATTGGTGCTCGCGCATCCGGCGCATGCAAAGTTGTGTCACATGTAATCTAAGTACATCAACACAATTAGTGCTTTCTTTTTAAAAATCTAGGAAAAATATTTTAAACATCGGTACAAATAAAAAAAACAACTTAATACTTTAAAGGCCTTTCTTCTGAGATACCGTGGGGAAAATGAATAAAAGAATTAAGACTGGCGGCAGAAACGCTTTTAAAGCATGGAATACCTTTTAAGGGAATCACCCCCCCCCCCCCCCCAAATCCGAAAATTTTATTCAACCGTCCGTCCGTCCGCTCATTTCTTAATTCTTAATTTACTAAACAAAATTGACTCTCACGAGACCACTGGGCCTGGCGGTATACCAGGCCGCATACTTAAAGACTGTTCCGGCATTTTTCTGGTTTATTATTTGTATCATTTGATAACTCATTATCATGTTGTAAATTACCAAGTGAAAGGAAAACAGCTCACGTTGTTCCTGCCCACAGAAGGGGTAAAAAATAGGAGGGAAAATATAGACAAACCTCTCTTCTTCGTGTATGCTCGAAAGTTTTAGAACACATAATCTACAGCCACCTGATAAAACATCTCGACAGAAAAAACTTTTTTTATTGTTTATCAATATGGCATTCGAAGTGGTTTATCGTGCGATACCCAGATGATCGACTTTTATCACATTTCTTATTTTTTGATAAAGGCGTGCAAGTAGATGGCGTTTTCTCGGATTTTCAGAAAGCCTTTGACGAGGTTCCCCATAAATCGATCGTATACAAATTGCAATGTTTGAATATCCCTGAAAATATTATTAACTGGCTTACTCATTATCTTACAAATAGGAGACAGGTTGTTTTAGTTAATGGGAAAATGTCGTTGTATTTAGAAGTAACATCAAGGGTATCACAGGGATCAGTGCTAGGTCCACTTTTATTCCTAATATACGTTTTTTTTTTGGTTTTTCTTGCAGATTTATCTTAAAAATGTCGTGAAAGCTACACTTATGCGGTTTGTGCGAGTGAGTTATACGCCCAGGGCGACATTGTGTGGTTGGATAATCTTTGCGATAAGTCGGCTCATTAATTAAAATTCACAAATAAACGTTTTATTTACTGAAAATAGACATATGTTTCCAATTAGAAACTTGCTGAGCGTCGTCCAGAGCCCCTAAATCAGTAATTTTTAGAAAGACTTTGAGCGCGTGTGAAGCGCATATGTGCGCTGAAGTTACCCCTCGTGGAGCAGGTACAAAGGCTGGGGCTAGTTAAGAGACGGCAAAATTGCGCGGGCGCCTTATCGAAACCGCTAGCCTTGTACCTGCTCCACGAGTGGTAACTTTAGTGCACTACTACGCTTCTCACGCGCTAAAAGTCTTTCTGAAAATGACTAATTTAGAGTTTTTGGACGACGTTCAGCAAGTTCCTAATTGAAAAAAAATGTGTCTATTTTCAGTAATGAAAAAGTTAATTACTGGATTTCAATATAATTATCCGACTGATCTAAAAAATTAGCTACCCACGTAATGTCCCCTTGGTCATATAACTTACTCGCACAAACCGCAGAAGTGGAGCTTTCATGGCTTTTTTTTAAACAAATCTGCAAGAATTAAAAAAGGCACGCTGCATATAAATGACATTTATACAGACATTACATCAAGCATTTGTCTACATGCGGACGATTGCGTCTTATACCGCAATATAAATACATCTTAGAATGAATGCTTGGGCGAGTTGGATATTCATATTGCAGAAGAACCGCAAAAGTAAACTCACTCACACTGAAAATACGCGCACAACAGATCTTTGCAGTTTCAGGGAGTTTACTTTCTCGCTTTTCCTACTATATAAAGACACGTTCAGACGCTCTAGAGCTACATGAAGATATTGATCGCTTCTCAAGATGGTGCAAAATATAGAAAATAAATTTAAATATTTCCAAATGCAATCATATAACATTGACCAGAAAACGACAACTTGTTTCTTTTAGCTATTCTGTTGGTGACGCCCAACTAGAAAGAGTGGACAAGGTAAAATATTTAGGCGTTCAGTTTTCGGAAAACCTATCGTGGAGCGGGTATGCAGACTATATGACGCTCAAAGCTAACTGTGCGCTAAAATTCTTGAGGAGGAATTTTCACGATGGTCCTTCCAATGTTAAAAAAAACACCCTTTTTCTTTTTAATGTGAAGCCAAATATTAGAATACGCCTCCGTGCTCTGGTACCCTAAAGAACGCTACCTAGAACAGAAAATTGAACAAATCCAAAGCAAAGCTGCTAGGTCTGGTGCAAAAAATTACAATTTCAAACAAAATGTTAGTGCCCTAAAACGGCTATTAGACTGGGAACCTCTGAACTCTAGAACACGCCGCCTCCGTTTAAATTTTTACCTGGGATATGTCATGATCAAACAGGACTGGATAAAACTAAATTCATTTAATTGCCACACCTAGTATAACGCCGATTAGATCATTGTAAAAAAAATTAGAGAATTTTCAGCTAGGGCTATTGTATTCAAATTATAATTTTCCCCCAATACCATTAAAAAGTGGAACGAATTACCCGAGGAAACTATCTAAAATCCATCATCAGATCATTTTTGATAAACTGTCTCCTGATTGCAGGAAAAAAGGAAAGTGAATTTTCTCTTTGTGTGAGTGATGAATTTTAAAATTCAGTTTTCAGAATGCTTGGTCTGTAACACTGTGCTTCGTGTCTTCATGCCTTTACTTGTACGGAAAATTATATTGATGGCTAAACCTTCATACCATTGTGGATCCAGTTTGTTAAAGTGTTATAATTTTGCAATACAATTTTTTCGAGCTTCTTTGCTTTTTAACCTGTGTTTCAGTATTTCACAACTGTGATTCTTGTGCAAATATATCCTCACACCTCCCCCCCCCCCCCCTGCGATAATGCCTCTTGGCGCTGCGGGGTAACATGTAATAAATGAATAAATAAAAAGATTCAACTTTGAAGAATTAACCCTCGTCGTTGGAACTCAGATATCACGTGGCCTCCGATTCAGAGGAAAAATAAACTGCTCTGTAGTTATGAAAAGCCTCTTTCTTGCGATATCTGAAATGCAATTGTCAACAAATGCACTTTGAGCTTAGAAAAAGCCTGGAAATGTCTGGCCTTTGTTTCGCCCGACCAGGACATGCTGAAATGTATCCTGCTTACTCTGCAGCTGCTTTTGAATATTTATTAACATTTGCTGCCAACCTAACTCATCGATTTAAGTAACCAAACAATATTCTACCCTCGCTGAAACATCTCGTTGGGGTGTTTCACAATTGCGAGCGCGGCGAGATAAAAAAATTCATCATGGCTTCACTTTTTCACAAAAAAGATGTACTAGGGGCCAATGCGAGTTTGCACTGGAACACCGGTTCTGAGTCATTTTGCCCGCTGAATGTCTGGAGATGACATCTTCAGAATATATTCAAACCACGCTCAATACAGAACACGGTCATGCAACATTTAGAAGGGAGAATAACTTTTATTTTATTTTATTGATTTCGGCTTATATATATTTAGCGCTGTATTACATATAGGTGAAATAAAGAAGGTCGAAGAAGTCGTGATATATGTATTTACAAAGATCTAAAAAATATTAGCAAGGAATATATGCTGAGATATTGTAGATTAGAAGAGCATTTGAAGCGATGGGAAGAGAGGACTTCTCAGTGCTATAAAGCAGCTTCCTCTTTTTTGTGTGTGTGAAAACATCATTTTCAAATCCTGCTTCGTAGAGACTTC